TGATTCACGTGTGCACACAGATGATTCACATGTGCACACAGATGATTCACATGTGCACACAGATGAGTCACATGTGCACACAGATGAGTCACATGTGCACACAGATGAGTCACATGTGCACACAGATGATTCATGTGTGCATGTGTAAATTGTCCTTTATGCACATGTGAATCCTCATGTCTGCACATGTGAATCATCTTGTGTGCGCATGTGGAATGCCTTGTGTGAACATGTGAATTTTCTAGTGCACATGTGAATCATCATGTATGCACATGTGAATCATCATGTATGCACATGTGAATCGTCATGTATGCACATGTGAATCTTCCAGTGCACATGTGAATCATCTTGTGTGGACTTCTGAACATTGACTCTTTTATCTCTGTAGAAACTTGATTTTTATAAGCTAAAGTTAAACTCAGGAGCTCWCTGTTCTCCTGCTTCCTTACTGACGTGAAGAGAACTTGTCTCATGTTACCTGTGCAGGTGAGAGAAGCCAGCTGGTGCTACAGGAACAACACCTGGACTCTGTCCCTCAGTTCTGGGGACAACTGGACAGGAGACATGATCTGGCTRGCCACTGGCTGCAAACTGGACGTCAGACAAGACGCGCTGCTTTCAGACGTGATGAAAGAATTCCCAATTCAGGTTAGAAAAAATGATGATTTTATTTAGTTTTTTATTTTAGTCTGATTTTACCTGGCTACAAAAATGCTACCTAAAAGTAGCAAAAGGCTAGCTAAAAAGTTGAACGTAGCAAAAAGGTAGCTTAATCTAACAAAAACTATTTGAATATAACATAAAGCTAGCTAACTAAATGTAACAAATGTAGCCTAATGTAACAAAAAATTAGCTAAAACAATTAAAGTTTGCTTAATGGAACAAAACGCAAGATAAAACTAAATGTAGCTAAATGTTAGCTTAATGGAATAAAAAGCTAACAAAAACTATATGAAGCAAAAATGTGGCCTAACTTATCAAAAGGGTAGTTAAAAGAATGTGAAACTAGCCTAATATAACAACAAAACAGTAAAATGAAGCAAAAAGGTAGCTAAAGCTAAGAGTAGCTAAAGCTAGATTTAAAAAATGTATAAGAACAGCAGTGAAAAGCTAAAAGTAGAATAAAAAGACAGAAATAATTTGAAATAGATCAGAATGTTACAGATCTCCAGGGAAAATATGTATAAAGTTAAATATTTTGATGTATAAATGGCTAAAATATTTCCAGCAGAAGTTTGATTGTAAAAATGAAGGTAACTAAAAGTCTGACTCAGCGTTCTCTTCATGAACACTGTGTGGTTTCTCCTCAGGTGATTGACGGCTGGCCGTGTGTCTCAGAGAGTCTTCAGTGGACGGACGGGTGTCCTCTCTACCTGATGGGACAGTACGCAGCGCTGCAGGTGGGTTCTGCAGGAACAAGGTTGTCCTCACTGTCCTCACTGTCCTCGCTGTCCTCACTGTCCTCACTGTCCTCACTGTCCTCACTGTCCTCACTGTCCTCGCTGTCCTCGCTGTCCTCACTGTCCTCACTGTCCTCACTGTCCTCACTGTCCTCGCTGTCCTCACTGTCCTCGCTGTCCTCACTGTCCTCGCTGTCCTCACTGTCCTCACTGTCCTCACTGTCCTCACTGTCCTCGCTGTCCTCGCTGTCCTCGCTGTCCTCACTGTCCTCACTGTCCTCGCTGTCCTCGCTGTCCTCACTGTCCTCGCTGTCCTCACTGTCCTCACTGTCCTCGCTGTCCTCGCTGTCCTCGCTGTCCTCACTGTCCTCGCTGTCCTCACTGTCCTCACTGTCCTCGCTGTCCTCGCTGTCCTCGCTGTCCTCGCTGTCCTCGTTGGTCCACACAGGTTGGACCTCACGCCATCAACCTGGCCGGTGGACAAGCTGCCAGCAGGCGCATCGCTGAAGACATCGTCCACCATCAGAAGAAGGACAGTGGACAGATTTCTGCCCCGGGGGGAGTCCGGTCCAGAACTGAAGACTACATCCAGCAGATGCACGGCCTCTTCTGGCTTTAACAGAAACATCTGAGTCATGTTTTAGATCTGAGTCACTGAGTTTTATGACATCGTTGGATAAATGCTGAGTCATCATCCTGTTTGTTGTTTTTCTGTGTATTTTTACAATATTAACCAGTTCAGCATATTTGTAGTGTTTTAAAACATTCGGCTCCTTCAGCTGATGTGACTTTATTTATATTTGATAAAATATTTGATTTTTTTATTAGATATTTTTTCCCACAGAAATACACAAACATCTCTTCAACTTCTTCAACAGCTTAAAATATGCTTCAGCTTTTAGCTACAGTTCAGATACTTTTAGCTTTTAGCTAGTTATTTTAGCTACCATTTGGTTAGTTTTATCTTTTGGGCAGCCTTTTGCAACTTTTAGCTTCCATTTTGCTACTTTGGCTTTAAAATAGCATTTTGCTATAATTAGCTTTTAAAT